AGATGACAGAGTTGGAAAGAAAGAGAAGAAGGAGGAGAAGAAGAAAGATAGGTCTATTTTCAATTAATGGAAAGTCAGAAAACAAGCCACACAGCTGTGCCGCAGACCTGCTCCGCCGTGGGCTTGGCCTGACACTGAGGCGGGGGCAAGACACGTCCTACGTCCCCTGGAGCTTGGCCAGGGCCATCTGAGCAGGAGCTTCCGTCCAACAGATCTGGCCAACTGCCCCCACCGGGGAGTCTCCCAGGCCAGGTAGGCACCCCAGAGCCCCTCTGCCCACCGGGCACTGCAGTCCACGGCCTCCTCTGCTGTACTCCCAGGGAGGGTCGTGGGCAGACGGGACAGAGCATCATGGATGGCAAGGTGACACGTGCACCGAGGGACCCACCCTCCTGTGCCACAGAGCCTGCAGCTCAGAGACCAACCCATGTCCCGACAGGAAGTGCCCTGCTGTGGCCGCATGCCTGGGTGCAGAAGCATGGGCCAGGAGAGGACGCCCTGCTCCAGAGCCAACCAAAGCAGTGGTGAGGAGCACAGGAGCAGCCACAGAGGCCTCTCACAGCGCTGCAGGTGACCCTGTCCCCAGCCCTCCCCAGGGCCTGCGTGGTGTCCACTTTACCTCGGGACATCTGCACTCTCTGGGACAGTGACCTGCCTCCTGGGGCCTGGCTCCCCACCCACCAGAAAACCTTAGTCTTTCTGAGGACAAAGGAAGTAGTTTTTCAAATGGGCCTAGGATAAAGCCACGAGGAAGCCCCAATCCACTTCAAAGTCAATTGCACCCATACTTTTTYCTCTAAATGATGCATAAAATTAGAATCCAGGGATGAAAGGATGGGTTAGAAATGTGGCTTCTGGCCAGGATGGAGCAGCAGTGAACAGATTTGCTTTCCACCTTAAACAACCAGGATCTTAGGAAAAGTCTAGACCAGAAAACGGCAGCTCAGGGCCAGGTGGGCTGCACAACTGCCCGCTCTGCTCAGAGGCAGCGGAGGGAGGCGGGAGCCCGGGGGAGCCCAGCGGCTCTGCTCAGGAAACCAGAGTCAAGTCTGGGGGCCRCTGTGTCCACAGTCTGCGGAGCAGAGCCCCACAGAGGAGGGAGCTGCAGAGACAGAAGCCCACTGAGATCTGCTCAGGAAGAGCTACCACAGGCCCAGGAGGAGCCACCAGGAAGCACAGGCCGGACGTGGCTGGCTCGTGTTGCCTCGTGTTGTCAGAGTGCAGACCTCACAGGACGCACGTCACCAGGGCCCTCCCAGCCCTGCCTCAGTGGTGGGGATACGTTAGCCTAGTCCAAGGGCAGCCCTGGGCCCGACCTCACAGAGCGCAAAAGCAAGTCTTGAAAGGACACAACATCAGAGGGCCACATCCGCTCTTCAGGAAAACCTCAATAAAATCCAGCRTCTAACGTGTACAATTCACAATGCCCAACCCCCAAACGAGACGACCCAGTAGGCAGAGAAGCCAGAAAGGGATCCAGAGGGCAGGGGACGGAAATGAGAGAGAAGGTGGGACAAACAGACAAGGACCCCRAAGCAGCACGTAGAAAAAGGAATGAGCCTAGATATCAAAGGGGAGGCCACAGGCCACAGTGACCACGGGAGTCAGGCCGACTGTGCAAAGTCAACAGCACCACAGGGGATCTTCACAATCATCCTGAGAAGCAGAGGCTTCTGCTACCCACACTGGAGAGACGAGATCACTGAGGCACAGAGAGGCCCAGTAGTGGCTCAAGGTCACACAGTTGAAAAATGGCAGAGCTAGGAATCTCCAGCCAACAGTTTGGCTTCCGAGAGAGAATAAGGGAATTGGAAAGACTTATTTAGCCACATTTGTTAATATCAAATAATATCATAGAAAACAGGTTATTATTCACAATTATAACCAAACCTATAACACATCTGGAAACCATCCCCCAAACACACAGCACCTTGTGGACACTGTCACTCCGCGACTTACTGCCCAGCCGAGTGTGAAGGGGGCTCATGGGAGGGGACGTGGGGCAAACAGGAAGTCACCTGTGTGGACAGCCTGCTTATGGGAGTAACTGCAAAACTGTTAAGGTCCTAGAAGAGCCGAATAAAATAAGAGACACCCCCCCCCCTTCTGGATGGGCGGCTACTCTAAAACTCACCTGCAGGGTAATGACAGAAACGTTTCAGGAACTTGGCTAAYGCTTTCTAAAATGGGCACGCGGCCTTCCAGGTTTCCAAGACATATCTGTGAGTCTGCATCGAGCCACCAGAAGGTCGTCAGGGGGCCTGGCGTGGGRTGAAGCGCTGGCCCTGACTGCCCGCTCGGCCCTCTGGTGCTGCCTGACACCAGCACTGCCAGCGTCCTCCATCGACCCGTCAGCTGTTCAGAAAGCGGGCGGTCAGGAGGCCCGCACYGGTCTGCCCGTCCCTCTCTGTCCCTCCCAAGTTCACCTAGGGCCCTGGATTCTGGGTGGAGCTTCAGACTGGCAGTGGATTTTCTGAAAGCAGAGGCGGACTTGCAGGGGTGAGGGACCAGCTGCGCCTCTGCACCCATGAACCCCAGAGGGGCCCGGCCCAGGGAAGGGCACAAAGCAGTGCTCCCAGCAGGAGGAGGAAGAGCCGGGCAGGGCAGGCTGGGAAGGAGAAGCAAAGGAACATGGGAGGAAGGGCGGGGCAGGGGGGACAGAGAGTCCCCGAGAGTCTTCCCAGGAAGATGACACCTTCCAGCYCCCAGCTTGCTGCTGCACAGCAGGGCCAGGGGGACGTCGGCCAGCGGTTCACCCCAACCCTGACCATCACTGTGGTGGGTGAACCATCCTCCTTCCCTCCCCAGACCCCACTTCCCCTCAGACCAGGGGGTGTCAGTCCAGGGCTAAGGGTGGACTGGTGCCTGCAGATTCCAGTCAAGGAGGGGCCCAGCRGTGTCCCCAGCACGCTCTGCTGCCCCAGGTGAACCAGAGACCAGAGCCGCCCTGGAKGCACCCCATTCCCACCAGGCCATCCTCCCGGGTCTCCTGGGCAGCTGTCAGAGGACCTGGYGCCATCTCCACAGCTGCACAGACTCTGAGGACCTCCCTCCCCTGAAACGTGACCGTGAGGGTTGGTTTTAGTGCCACCTGGCTTGTGCCAAGGGATGCCCAGAGTGTTGTTTCTGGAAGCGACTGTGAGGGTRTTTCTGGGTGACAGCAGCATTGGAATTGGGGGACTGAGCAAATAAGACCCTCCCCAGTGTGAGCAGGGGCCATCCAGCCTCGGGAGAGCCAGCGGAACAGAAGGGAGGAGGAAGGGGACCCCGGGCCTTCCCCTGAGCAGGGCCGTGGTTTCTTGGCCCTGRGAGATGTCGGCACCCCTGGTTCTCGGGCCCTGGACTCTGGACCTACACCGCAGCCCCGGCCCAGGCCTGTGGGCAAGACTGAGCTGACCACTGCCTCGGCTTGCCCAGCTCACAGGGGCGGGCGGATGGTGGGCTCTCGGCCTCCACACTTGCCTGAGCAGATCCCCGTGATAACCCTCCTGTTGGTGCCTACCTGGGTGTATATCTGGCTGGTTCTGTATCTGCAGAACCCTGACTGTAACAATGACCTGGCAGCCCCTCAGCAAGTGGGGGCCGTGGCTGCCCTCCACGATCACTCTGCAAAGGAAATGGGAGCAAAGTCCACCTGCTGAGCAGGGAGGCCCTTTAAGCTGCCGTCAGGGAGCGCCTGAGGTGGGCACCTGCCAGGTGGGAGGGCAGACTGCAAGGACACCTCTCACTRAAAGGTCACCACTGATGATGCCCTGGGTCACGTGGCCCGGGAGCTGCTCCCCCACCGGTCACCGTCCAGCCCTGTCCTCCCCAGTCCCGGCACTTCTGCCTGCTGCTCATGGCTGCTGATGGCCAACCCCTTCACACCCTGAAAGGAGCCACTGACSGCGCCCAGAGTAGGTTCTAGGGCCCTTCACAAGCCCAGGCATCTGTCTTCTGAGACGGGGTACACCTACCTTAAATTTTTTTAAAATTAAAAACAAAACTAGGCGAGGACACGGACAGAAGACAGGGACAAACACAGCTGCTTCACACAGCGCAGCTGGGGGCACCTGAACACAGTCCTCTTGGGAGCCCCCAACACAGGGCAAAGCACAGGAGACACGGGCACAGGCAGCCCGTGTGACGTCCACTCCACGCGACCCCGCGGGAGCCCTCTCCTCCCSACCCACCAACAGTGCACCTGCCTCCTGCTTGCTCCACCTGCCACGGCCACAGCACCTCGATCCTTCCCTGAGGAGCATTTTAAGAGACAGACAATTTTAAGTGTTTCTCATCAGGGTCCCCAAATAGAGAGCAGAAGCAGGACCACTTGAATCAGGCCAGAGCTCGGGGACACGGTGCCAGGACGTCACTGTCTCCTCAAACACTCAGGGAGCAAATGAGCAGTGCCCGAAGCACTGCTGGAAGGGGGCTGCGCAGGCTGCGGGGAGGGGGGCGCCAGGTGTAGAGGGGGACGTCCCRGAGAGGACACCCGAGCACAGAGGCAACGCCTAAGGACAGCAGAGGACGGAGCTCCACGTCCAGGAAGTGACTCGAGAGGCGACTGCGGGAGCGGGCAGAACGCAGCCTGGAGAGCAGAAGCCTGAGGGTGCGCCGGACACAAGGACCAAACACGGCGATGAGGAGGGGCTGGAGGGAGCRGGGATGTGGGAGCACAGCCCAGGACTCACGGGTAAAAAGGAGATGGGGAGAGAGGACAGACGCCATGCCCCAGGACAGAGCCAGGCATATGCACAGCGGGACCAGGGCCACAAGGAGCAGAGCCTGAGGTGACAAGATCTCCCGGCAGAGACCCGGGGAAAGAGGCTCAGACAGAAGGCCCAGGGAGTGGGGGAGGGCCCAGGGGAGAGGGGCCACACGTGCAGGACAGTGACTTCCAGAGCACGGTGCTCGGGACAGATGGACGGAGCAGCCCAGGAGAACTCCACACACCTGCCAACGGCCAGCGTCACCTGCTGGGTGCAGAGAGAAGCCACCAATGAAGCAGACGCACCCACCTTTTCAACCAGGTCCTCAGGGGCCTGWTCCTCAAAGAGGCGAATCTTGTCTTCAATGCACTTCTTCAAAAGGTCCACCTTGCTTTTACTCTTGGACCGCGGCTTCCTGGTCTTGGACTGTRGGTGGAGAGGGGTCAGAGAAAACACTGGCATCAAGATGGTCACCAGCAAGCTCATGCAGCCCCAGGTCGCCCCAAGCCAAGGGAAGACTCTGGCTCAGAGAACTGGCAAACTCCACCTGAGGCCAGCAGGATGCATCTCTTCCTGGATCATGCCAGGTGATGGCCTCGTGACAAAGCATGCCTGGGAGAAGGTTATTTTACATGGGCACTCAGAGAAGGCCTCTTGGTGGAGGTGACATTGAACTGAGGGGTGAAGAGACTACAAAGCCTGCTGCAGGCAGGAGTAATGGCCAGTTCAAGATCATGTGCACTCAAGGAGGTGTGGCCCCAGAGGTCTACAACAGCAAGTTCAAGATCACATGCAGGATCAGCTGCACCAGACTCATCTGCCCTTGAGACACGCAGGTGGTCCCCCAAAGGCAGCTGTCAATCATCATCCCAGTACAAGAGGCTCTTCTCCAAGCCCACTGAGCTGAGGTGAGCAACCCTCCTTGGTGCCACTTGTAGAGAGGCCTTTTGTACCCTGAATCAGCCACTGTCCACGACTATGGGAGAAGAGAGGAGAGCCACATCTCAGGTCAGGTGCCTCCCTTCCACCCAGCACAACATTCAGGAGAAGAGTACAGAAGAGTGTGGCTGCAAACCACGGGCGGCTGCAGGTGGACACTGTACCAGCTGGGTAAGGGCATCTGCATGGCCTCAGAGCTGTCCCCAGACCTTGAGGTCAGGACAAACCTGGGTGTTCCAAGAACAGTAAGACCTACCATGGCTGGAAAGGAGAGGACGGGGAGAGGGATCTGGGTAGGGGACAGAGACACAGGACTCCACAGGGTCAGATCCTGCGGGGGAGTGGCCAGTCCCTGCAGTTGAGAGGCCATGTTGTCCCGCCTACCTGCAGCTCRGGTGCAGCCAGGGCCTGGTCCAGCTTCAGGACCTCTGCTTCCCGCCAGGAGGTCTGGAATCTCTGCAGCAGGACTCGGGCCCGGATTTTGGGTAGGGCCAAGCTCCTGTCCATCTGGGCGAAGCAGCCGTGGACCTCCTGCCTCATCCTGAGCAGCTCCTCTTCAGACAGTGAGAAGGCCCAGCAGCAGAGCCGCCTGTGGAGGGGACAGTGGCATGTTCCACCAAGAGGAAACGCAGGTGTGGGGTTGGGAAGGGAGCTGGGACTTCGCGTCCCATGAACTAAGTCCCTGCGTGGAGGAAAGGCATCGCTCCTCCGGGCGTTCAATCTGCAAGCCTTTCCTGGGTGCCTGATGTATGCGCTGCTGGGCACAGGGTCCTGTGGAGCTGAGACCTAGAGCTCAAGGAGGCGCCCAGGAGGAGGTCTTCTGGCATTCAYGCCTGTGACCACAACCTGGCCCGGCTGGAGAAACAGACAAGAAATGAAGCCCTGTCCACCAGCCCCAGGCAGCAGCACTGTGAGCAAGCGGCAMCCAGGACAGGTCGGGGTCAGGGAAAGGGTCCTAAAGGATGGCAACTGGCAACTGTCATTTATCACAAACCTACTCCACGCCACAGACCGTGCCGGGCAGTTTACTGTTATGCACTGAATTATGTCCCTCGGATGTGAATCTAAGGTCAGCACCTGTGAATGGGGCCATTTGGAAACGGGGCCTTTGCAAATGAAGACCCACTGGAGTGGAGGGGACCCTCACTCTGATATAACTGATGTCATCGGGTGGGACAGGCGAGGAGACCATCACGCGGGGCAGAGGCCACATGACAACAGAGACGGAGGTGGGAGTGACGTGTCTACAGACCAATGCAGAAGCTCAGAGAAGGGTGAGGAACGGCCTCCCCAGAGCCTCAGCGGAGCACGGCCTCCTGCACCCCGAGTTCATTCTGGCCACAGAACAGGGAGACAATCATGTGCCTCTGGTTTGAAGCCACCTGGTGGTGGTGCCCCCTTAAGGAGCCCTGGGAATCAGAGACCCCGACCTACGTCATTGCTGATCCTCGACTTACACGAGAGGAGACCAAGGAACATCCCCGGCTTCCTTCTGGCCAGGCCCACAGCCACTCCCCAGGGAGAGTGGCCACACGCTCACTTTCCCAGCTTCGTGGGTCCCAAGGTGGACGTCCAGATGGAAGTCCCTCCTTGACTTGGGAGGGAGCAACCAGGAAGGGGCCTGACCTCTCGCTCCTGCTTCTGACAGGGTCTGTCTGCTTATTCATCCATTTATCTAATCTCTGCAGAGGACCTGGGTTTCTCCGTCACTCTGGCACTGTCAACAGGCTGCGCGGGAGTGGCTCTGGGGGGACATTTGCAGAATACTTTCCAGGGAGGTCAGGGCAAGCCTCACACACCCGGATCTCTACATCCCAGTCACCAGGGCAGTTCTCCTGGGGAAGTGCAGGAGGATTCAGGATGTCCGGGGCCCTCACAGGAAGACAGAAGGCCTGAGGGTCACATCGCAGGCCACAGGCGAGGGCCCGGGGCAGGGCACCCTGTCATGGGGTCCTCACTCCAAGGGCCCCAGTTTCTAGAGCACTTGTAGCCATGCAGCCCGTCCCTGGCCCTCGCCCCCTGCACGGCCTCTCCCACTGTCTGCCGGTGACCATCCAGAACAAAAGCACCCSGCGGGCACCTAGGTCCTATCGCGCACCTTCCAGCAGAACGGCCCCTGTGGCCTGGTGCTGGTCCTCTGCTACAAGGACCAGGGAATACAGAAAGACAGGAGGCAGGTCTTTGCCCTGAAAAGTCAGAGTAGAAACCTAGGAAAGGAGCGTCCAGACACACCTTCCCTGGCAAAAAACAGGCCCTTCTCAATCCCACCTCTGGCTGGAGAGGCTCACAGCACCCYGTCTCGTGTGCAGATGGGAGGCTCATGAACCGTGTCTCCAAACAATGGTGCCGAGCCATCGTTACACAACGCCATGGAAACTAAGGCCGCAGCCCTGGGACCTTAAATCAGCCACGCGTAGGAGCAGCTCACGCCGCGGCACTGCGGTGGACCCTCTTTAACCCTCGGAAAAACCCTGAAGAGCCCCGACAGCCAAGCCAGATTTCTCTTTCCCCGATGRTGGCTAACTCAGTGGCGGTTTTAGTAATGGTCCCTGCAAAATGGACCCAAGYGAAGTTGAAGAAAATGACCACCCAGTAACGGGAACGTCAAGTCTGAGTCAAGTGCTGCAGAGTCCAAAGCCGGCGGACGAGCAGAGGCCTGGGCGGCATCAGTGCTGCCAGGGCCACTCACGTGCGCGAAGGGCCCGTAAGGGTCTGATTTGTGTGGCTTGGAGAAGACAGCGTCTCGGCTCCCGTGTCAGGAAAGCAATGACTAATGAAGATCAGGGAATCAATGAAGCCAGGAGCACAGAGAGAGGTGGGAAGAGTGGAGTCACTCACTGAGAACCAGAGGACATCACTGTGCATGAACACCTGGGGACCGACTCCCCACAGCAAGGTCAGTGCTGGGGAGGAGGGCTGGGAGGGAAGGGGCATTAAGTCCTTCAGGTCAGCAAGAYCCTGCAGATGCTCGGCCACCTGACACCTGTCCAAGGGTACCCACGTAGAGCCAGGCTCTTACATAAACATTCGCTTCACATGTTAACCTACCTGATAGCATCAAGTGCTATAAATCATTGAATACTGTCATCCCTGTTTTATAGGCAAGAAAGATGAGACCCAGAGAGGTTAAGTAACTTGTCCACACCCACACAGCACCACCACAGGTGGTGGGTGCTGGAATTTAAAGCCTGGTCTTTTGTTCTACACTATCTGCATCTCTTTCCACACTGGTCATATCTGGGGCTCCTAGGGTTTCCAATGTACACCAAAATCTTTGTGGGTCTAATATACCACTGATGCCTCCCTCCTGGGCTGAGCTAAATCTCAGTCTGCACAAAGAACCGGCAGATGACTGGGGCAAGCAGAAGACTCCCCAACCAGAGCCGGCTCCAGCTGGTCCTCACACTGGGTCTCTCCGGGGGCTGAAGACATGGTGCATGRTTCACGCACTGGTTTCCAGTTCCTCGGCAGGAGTGCGGGTCGGCTGTGACCAGCACTGTGTCCCACTCTGGAGCGGGAGTCCTCGTGGTTCTGGTATTAATAAGAACCAGTGGCCCAGTGAGCCAGCCAATGAAGGAGCAGGGGAGATATGGTGCAGCAAGGTGTGAGAACTGCACCAGGGGCCAATGTCAGTGATGCCTGGACACTTGGGGGAGAGCACGGGGTGACCATGGCCTCATCCAGCCTTCTCCCCACTCTGCAAGGTCCCCTCACCAAACCACACTTCTTATGGAAGGGACAGGGGGCAGTCTACTTCTCCCTGAGCAGTGGGCCAGGCCCTGTCAACCACCAAACCACCCACACTCCCAAGGCACCCAGGGCCCCCGTCCCCAGAACCCTCCTCCCCTGGCCCCGCTGTCCACCCTGCAAGCTGTGGGTCTGGGTGGCTGAGCACCCTCATGTGCTGGGTGGGTGCCCCGTGCTGGGCCACCCTGGGCACCGCAGCCTGGGCTCCCGCCCTCAGCAGCTGCGTGCAGGGCAGCAGAGGGGGCAGAGGGGACCTGCAGGGCCACTCACAGGAAGATCAGGCGCTCCCAGCACCTCAGCTCCGCCTGCTCCTCCACCGAGGCCTCCGGGGCGTCCTCCTGCAGCCTCTGCCTCACGCTCCGGACGCCCTCCTGGCCCCGCTCCCTCTCCTCGGCCTCCAGCTGCGCGGCGCGGGCGGCCGACTCCTGGCCGTGCTCCTCCAGGATCTGCTGCAGGAAGAGCCAGGGCACGCTGCGCTTGAGCAGCTCCTGCGTCATCCCCGAGCTCTGCAGGCGCCTCAGCGCCTCGGTGGCCTTCTCCGACAGCGCCAGGGTCAGGGCCCGCAGGTCGTCCAGGGCGGCCTGGTCCAGGCCCTCCTGCAGCTCCTCCAGGGCGGCGCTGTGCTCGGCCACCATGCTCCTCCACTGGCCCAGGTACTGGCCGGCGTCTTCAGCAGCCCGGAGGGCTTCTCCAGTGGACAGCTGCTGTCTCCGCTGCTCCTTGTGCTGGCAGGAAGGTGACAAAGGACGATCAAATGGGGGCAGGGTGGTAGGCACAGCCCTCTGGGAAAACACTTCGGAAATTTGTGGCAGAGGACACGGAAGGTTTAGCGACTCCCCWCTCCTCCCTGACAATCTCACATCTGGGAAATTATCCTTCAGAAGATCAAAGAAACTATGTTGAAACTTCATGTTTRATGTTCACTGAACAAGACTTATTGAGGAGGTAAAGTCAGGAGGCCGGCCATCTGGATTTCAATCCTGGCTCCTCCATTACAAGCTGAGTGACCTGAATGAGGATCTTAACCTCTCTGTGCCTCCACATCCCGCTCTGTAAAATGGGGATGTAATGGGACCTCCACATGGCGTGGCTGTGGCGATCACGGGTGGCCTGATACGGCACAGCCTCGGGAAAGCCCCTGGTGCAGATCAGGCCAGGCCAGAACTGCACATGGTGATGCTGTCAGGGAAAAGCCAACCCCAGAGCCACGTGAGAGGGCTCCAGGAGGAGTCAGAAGGGGCCTGGGGAGGAGGTCGCCAAGCGGACATGAAGGGGGAGGCTGCGCCGTGCTCAGGGTAAGAAGTGGGAAGAAGAGGCCGGGGAGAAAGAGCCGAGGGCATGTAGGCCTCGTGGTGGGGAGCCTGACGGGAGTGAGATGCCCACGGGTGTCCTTAACAGGCGTCCACAGCTGCTCTCGTCCTACTTGACCAGAACATGAGGCGGCCTGCCTTCTGCTCGCGGTTCCTGGTGACCAGAGAGGGTCCACTCCTTCCTTCTCCTAAGGAAGGCCYCTGCGTGTCAGGCAGTGTCCCCAGCCCAGGGAACACGACAGCAGAGTCTGCTCGGTGACGCTCCATCCTAACCCTGGGCCACTCAGCCTGCAGAGGACCGGAGGCGCTCTCCTGGGGTCTGCAGTCCTTCTTCCAGTCACTAGCCCTGGCTGGACCAGGCCTTCAGAGCTGGGGCTCGGGCCTGTTGTGGTCCTTTAACCTGCGGCTCAGAGAACAGGCGGCGCCCCRATGGCGTACACCGCCGTGATGGAGGCCAGTCCCAGGCTTCACACGGGGCCCAGCACTCGGKAATAAAAGGCATCATCGTCCTCGTCACTCACACCAGCTGCCACTGCCCTCCCCACGCAGACATGGCTAGTCAACCACGGCCCTCTGATGTGCCACCATGAAGCGGCACTCCAAAAAGTCACCACCCATCAACTGCAGAGAGCACAGGCACTGTCTGCCCAGGTGCCCTGCTGGACCCAGGGTGGAYGGCAGCCGTGACCTGGTGGTGTTGGCAGAGGTTACCCAAAGAGGAACGGCGCGGCACCTGGCGTACCTTCTGAAGCAACTCTCGTCTTCTCTTGGTGACCAACTTTTGGTGCAGCTTTTTCTTTTCCTGCTTTAAGTCGTTTTCCAACTTCTGTTTTATAGAAAAGACTTCCGTCTGAGCCCGCTCCAGGAGCACTTCCATCTGGTCTTCGTCCAGGTACCCCGCCCTGGGGAGAGAGACCAAAGCCCGTGAACCCCGAGTGGCCGGGGCTGAATGTGCGGCTCCTCGTTGGTTTGGTTCGGATCAGAAAAGCCTTTACCCTCCAGGAGGAGCATCGGCGGCTGAGACGTGACGGAAACACCAGCTGACCAGCTGACCGAGCTCAGGGTCAGGTGGACGGGCGGGAAAGCTCAAGGCAGGACAGACTCAGCTGTGAGGGCAGGAATGGCGGGAGTTCCGGAAAGTAGCCATCGCAGGGCCAGCAGGGCGGGGAACTTCCCAAGAGGAGACAGTGGACCAGGAATCCCAGTGTCAGCAAGGACAGGAAGTCAAGGAGACGAAGGCCAACGAGAGTGGCCAGATCACACAGGCTCGGGGTGCACGGGCTGCGGTCTTTCCAGAGGACGTCAGCCGTGAACAGGTGGACTCAGCCAAGGTCACAGAAATTGAACTGCCACTGTGGCGGGCTAAGCCCTGGGACCCAAATTCAAGAGCTGAGCAGTCCTGAGGGCTTCCCAGGAACAGGTGCCACCACAGAGGACCAGGGGGGCAGTCTGGCCCCTTCCCCTCCGTCCCTCAGGSGCCCCCTCACCACATGACACCTTCTGCCGCGACGTGAAGTGGCCCTCACCAGACGCCATGAGCCAGATAAAGCTCCCAGCCCACTGTCCACCCGGCCGTGGCACTCTGTCCAGCAGCAGAGGGCCCTCCCTAGGGGGTGGCATCATCCAGGACGCTGACTCATGAAGAGGAGAGGGCCAGGAGGGAGGAATGCGTCCCTTCAGCCTCACGCCGCAGAGCACACACCCCACCCTCCTCAGCCCCTGCTGGAGCTGACACCTGCAGCTCCGGGGTTCTCAGGCCTCCACCTTGCACTGATTACGCCCCCAGCTCTCCTGGGTGTCCAGCTGGCAGAGGGCAGGTGGTGGGACCTCCCTGCTCCATGAGCCACRTGAGCCAGTTCCTACACCCAGTCTCCCATGGTCTCCAGTTGCTTCTGTCACTGTGAGGACCCGACTGCGACAACCTTCTCCCATCACCACCTCTACTCCACTCTGTCTGCAGCCCAGGGCTGGTCCCCAGCCAGCACAGGACAGACCCTCAATGGAGGCATCCTGAGGCTGTGACCTGGTAAAGGCACGGGCACTACACATTTCAGAAATCTCAATGTCAGTCCTTCAAAATAGAATTTAAAAATCAGAGGCAAGACCTCGATCCCCAGCCACTGCTCACCAAGGGCACCCAGCTGTCGGGCCTTCAACTCAAGGCAAGGACGCTCCCTTCATGGGAGCGCAGATTAACCAGGCATGTCGAGCCCACTGCAGGGATGTTCATCAGCATCTTGGGGTGGGGGTGTTCACATAATTTAGACCTCACAGAATCCTCTTTCACTAGAGCAGGAAGCGGTGAAGTCCTAGTAAAACGACCCAAGACACAGAACCAATTGCTAAGCCACAAACTGTGGTAAGAAAGCCAAGCTCACGGTCGTATTCCTGTTCACTTTAGAGCTTCTCATATCCTAAAGAGAGCACATCTCATTGTTTACGAGTAAGCTGCCTGAAAGAAAAGCCGAGCAGGATGACAGAGAGGGATAATCCCACGTGGAGACCGCTGCCCACCACCGTTCACCTGACCACGTGGAGCCCAGGTGCTGCTGAGAGAAACTAGCCAAACCAAGAGAAGCATCTCCGTGCCTTCACACTTCACGCCAAAGACAAATGCTAATGCCAGGGCGGGCGCACCAGGGCCTGTGTGGGCTGTTCCCCCACCACCCCATGGTCATCTTTTTCTCCAGAAAATGGAGCTGGAGATTTGCTCCAAAACATCCCAGGATGGGGGGACATGTGGCTCCACCATGACTGGCAGCAGGTTAGTACCTGAGGAAGCAGAAGGATGGGCACGTGGGGGTTCATCACGCGACTCATCTACCACGAGTGCTCTAAAACACAGTATGACGCACGGGGTTTTTACAACTGAGGACTGTTTTTAAGAACAAGTAGAGTGACCTTTGCATATTATGAGCAAATGGAAAGAAGGGAGCCACTGGACGGGGCAGGTTGCTTGGGGCTGGGCTAGGCTGGGGGCGGGGCTGGGCTAGGCTGGGGGCTGGGCTAGGCTGGGGGCGGGGCGGGGCGAGGCGGGGCGGGGCGGGGCGAGGCTGGGGGCGGGACTGTGGGCGTGGCTGGGCGAGGCTGGGCGTGGCTGGGCGAGGCTGGGGCGGGGCTGGGCGAGGCTGGGGCGGGGCTCACCTCTCGTGTTTCTGGATAAGCTGGGTCAGCTGCGCAGCTGCAGTGCTCAGAAGGCCTTGCACCCGGGTCTCCGTGCACTGCAGGTTCTGGACCAGGTACTCCCTGTGGCCAAACCTTTTACTTAGATGATACCTCTTAGTAGCCTGGAAGAAATCCATCAGCTCTTCTACATTCTCCTGTTTAAAAAAGAAAAAAAAAATTTTTTTTGAAGTATGTCTCATTAAACGTTAGAAAAATTGTCAGAACTTAAAATATTAATTTTCCTTTCAGAAGAAAGCACAGGAACAGAAGCAGTGATTRACACTTTTATCTTCCTCGCTTGGGACAAAGTCATATGCGAACCAGAGAGCTGAGACGTGCATTAGACCTGGCTGCCAAGGGCAGTCAGCACGGTGGCCCGCGCACCAAGCAGGATGCACGTTCATAGCTTGGGCTAAGCATCCTTCCGCCACTGCAGAAGCTCTGGTGAGTCAGYCGCCAGCCCACCCCCAGGGCACTCCACCGATGCAGGTGACACCTCAGGCAGGCAGGGGGCACATGGTGGCAACATGACCCTTCATCCCAGCATGAACAAATCCACATGCAGGAGGGACAATGCCTGGCCCACACTGGGCTCTCCGCGGCCTGGTGCTGGACTAAGAGCCTACACGCCTCATCCCTTAATCTAGGCGGAGAGGACATTGTCACATTTCCAGTGAGGAAGTTGAGTCCACGGCACATGGCCATGGGCACTGAGTGGGATGTGCAGGCCGCCCTCTGAGTCCACCCGCTGTGCTGTCCTAGTGGGGCCGTCCCAAGTCCAGCTCCACCAGCAGCACTGGAAGGAGACCCACCTAGCTGCATCAGCTGGTCACAGGCCAGCGCYTGTCCCATGGTCTTGTCCTCTTTTCCCCACCTATGGGAATACCATGCACAGCAGGGATYACCAGAGGGTCCCCACTGCCTTCAAGGGGAGACCTGCGATGCGTGGACCTTCTCCTTTCCACGTAAGAGCCGTGTCATCTCTGGGTACTAGCACCGTCCACACAGGGAGCAGCTGGGTATCCACAGAGGTGGCTTAATACTGCCACTTCCTGGGGTTCCTGGCACCAGAATCAGCGGGACATTCCCATTCCTCCTCCTCGGAGCTGGACCTGAGCTTGTAGGGACCCAGCTGGCCTCCAGACTCCCTGAGGGCTCCAGGCAGAGAGCTCTGTGCCAGTTACCTCCTTAACCACGACATATCCCGGTGACATGTGCTCTTCTTAGTGAGGGCTCTGCATAGAGGGTCAGCACTGCCCGTCATGGGAGTAAGATGACAAGAAAACCCTTCCTATACGTAAGGTGGTRAGTCTGAGTCCTGCCAGTGGATCCGACAGAGTTCCTTCTGAATCTCACCAAAGGTTTATGAGCAAACACTTAGATCAAATGAAGAGGCAGTGTCTTCCCTTTCCATTCTGGGGTCTCCCCAGGGTGGCCCTCCCTTCCCCACATGCTCCAGATGGTGACTTGCTGTCTTCCTGGGTGCCCGGGGCCATCTCAGCCCTACTCACTGTGCCTCTACCAGGACCACACCACGCCCAGGCATGGGCATGCTGGTCTGTCTGTGGGTGGTCAGGGGAATGCCAAGTCCTGTGGCCCCATGGCAGGGACCTGCTCACAGGCACAGGTGTGGCTTCCATGTCCACACCTTGTCCAGTGGCTCTATTTTTCACCACTGCTTTGGCAACAGCTGTAACAGAGGCCAACGGCACACCTCCATGCCCTCTCCCTGTGCCCTGGGCCTGCCGAGGTGTCCCACGGCATGTTCCAGTGTGGGCAGAACCTGCACTTCTGCAGYAAGTAGAGAATTTTAAGGGGGAAATCAGCCAGCAAGCTGACCTTCTGGAACGATCTTCACTTGTGAAGCTAAAACTGAAATAGCAGAATGACTGCTCCATCAGAACCACAGTTTTGCATTCTTCAAACGAACACCGTCATGGACCAAGGCACCGTGACACCATCAGCCCCTGTAGACTTGAGCAGGCCCAACGGTGCCCCAATCTCTGGCACCATTCAGAGTTGCTGCTGTATACACACAGACTGGCTCATAAACTGGAAGAGGCGGCCTCTCTATGGAGCGATGGCCACATTTCTCAAATATTCTAGTCCTAGTCAATCCACAAGATTTYGCAAATTAAGATAGGGGTTTGCTCTTAACCACCATCACCACCACCTGGAGCAAGTCACCAACACCCAGGAAAACCTGGAAGCAGAGCGATGAAGGCCATCCTTGCGCACCAGTGACTGCGCCCTGCGCATGCKCGTGCCTGCAGAGAGCCTCATGAGGCCTCACGGGACCGTCCACGGCAAGGCCGGCAGGCTGGGGAAAACGACTGGCCCGTCATCTAAGAATCGGGTCTGGATTAATAATATCCACACGCATGCTTACACACCAGAAGACACGCACACCCAAGCACARCCAGACACTGACCCGAAAGCCTGGGCTGGCACGGGGATGTGAGTAACGCTGACACACCATGTGCACGTCCACTCTGTCACAGACCTGCATGTCATACCAGCTGGGCAAAGCACTGCCTTCAAGGATCAGCTTGTGACCACCTCCTCCGCCCTGTGAGCACAGGCCTCTGTTATTCCCACCTCACAGGAGAGGACCCTGGGCCAGGGGCAGCCAGCTCAAGCTCACTCAGCTGATGGGGGTGGCACTGGAATCCGGTCTAGGTCAACCTGGTCCACGGCTTGTGCCCCAAGCCACCATTCCCCTGCACACGGGACAATCACCCCCGCAGCAGGGGCCGAGAAGAGGAAGGAGCTCACAGGACMGAGCACAAACCAGAGGTGGGGCTTAACTCCAGGAGAGGAGCGGTTTAGGGAGGAGTTGGGAAACGACGCCTCGGTCACAGGGAGCCGAGCTGAGGCCTTACCTGCAGTTTAGAATAATCTTGCAGCAGCATTTTAGCGGCCTCTGGCTTCAGGTCCCCTTTCAAAATAGCACTTTTTATCTGGGCAAAGAAGATACTGTGCAACTCGTTTCTCTGGAAAATGGCCAGCTGCCTGTGAGCCTGCGCGAAGTCCTCCTCCTGGTGCAAAGCCAGGGCGCTCCTCAGGTGCTCCTGCTCCAGGCCGTGGAGGGTCCGCAGCAGGCCCCGGCACTCGGCAGCAGACTGCGGAGAGAAGCAGCAGCAGTGAGCCTGGCACTCTGAGCACAACTGGCCCACGTGGACACAGTCACACACGTGGACACATACACTCACACATGTACATTTAATACATAAAGTGCACTCAGCAGTGCTGTGTGTGCATGCCCATGCGTGTGCACACGGTGCCCAGAAATGCACACACATACATGTTCACAACCACAGATGCAATCTGCACACGCGCCTTGTGTGTGACAGTCACACAGTACACACACACACACACACACACACACCCAGAGGTGCACACAGGCACAAACCAGAAAACACATGGAACTCACGTGTGTGCACGGGCATGCACACACATCCTGTCCCAAGCTGTCATGATGGGGCTGGGAGATGCCCTTCCAACCTGTCCCGACCCTGTTATCTGAACAATTTTCCAGAACAATCACAAAGCAAAAAATTCACAGGGTGGAAATCTGCACATCAAGCTGYTTGAACAGAGCCTGTGAATAACGGAGACCTGGGAGTCTCAACGGCCGCACAGCTCGGCTCACGAGATCATCGCCTCATCTTTCATTCTCAGCTTGATTGAAGAGAGAGATGCCAGCAACCAGGCCTCAGCTGGAATCCTTCAGGTAAAGGAGGCAGAGGAGGTACCAAGAAGTGGCTGCTGGCCCACCTGCATGTTGGGGGTCCCGTGTGAGGAAAGGTGGAAACGCACCTCTGCTGAGCCCTAACGCAGCTGTTCCCCAGAGCCTCAACAAGACTGGAGCCCTAGGAGGGAGCTGCCCTAACTCCACGTGCGTGGTCAGGATCCTAACAGGACCTCAGGACCCCCCCCCCCTTCTGTAAATGTCACATAAATTCCCGTCCCTTGAATGGGAGTATAAATTTGAACATGATGGGATGGWCACTCCTGTGATTAGGTTTTACATGACATGGCAAAAATGAAAGTGTCCTGACAATACAATTAGGTCCCTAGACAGTTGACTTTGGGTTAATCAGGGGAAACCATCCTGGGTGGGCCTGACTTCATCAGGTGAGGTCCATGAAAGAGGGACTGGCCCCCCCTGAAGACAGAGACCCTCTCCCACTAGCCTGGAAGAAGCCAACAGCTGTGCTATGAACTCTCCATGGCAAAAGGAAGCTTCCAGAAGCAAGGAAGTGMATCTGCCAACAGCATGAATGAGCACAGACCAGGACCCTGAGTTCCACAAGAGACTGGAGCCCAGCAGAGCCCTTCCTGGAGCAGAGGGGTCAGCGGAGCCACGCCTGGGTCCTGGGCACAGAGACCCCGAGGTCCCAGGGAGCACTGCTGAGGTTGCTCAGGGCGTGTTCTGTTGCAGCCASGGAAAACAAACAGCCTGCACCCCACAGAGGACCAGGAGCGCAGAGAAGCTAAGGGCCCTCCCACAGCCCTCCCTGCTCGGCAGGACGCTGGGCTCCAGGCTCCACTTCTCAACCACACATGGGGAGCAAAGGCAGGGACAGGTGCACCTGCGTGAGGCAGGTGTGGGCCCTGGTCACGGGGAGGGGCTRTGCCCTGGCCCAGCAGAGGCCGGGAAGGCGGGAGGGGCTGTGCAGCAGAGGCAAGGGCTGGTCTCCTCCGGGCTGAGTGGAGGCCTGGAAGCTCCCGGGGCCTTAGGTTCTCTGTCCCAGGAACATAGCCCCCCTGGTGGCAGACCGGTCACCTCTGCGTCCGCTCACTCGCAAAGCCTCGCACCTGGCTCAGTCTCTCCAGCCCCTTTCACTGACCTTCAGCTGGTTCAGGATCCAGGAGGAAGGGAAGCATTTACCCAGGGCCCCTCAGAGAAGCCCAGCAGTCAGTGTGAGGCAGCCCTGGGGCCGGGGAGACCAGAGGGCAGCCCACCTCCGCTGCCCCCGCATCCGGCATCCATCCCGACAGGAGCGCTTTGCTTCAGCCACCCAATCACAGCTCCACCTTTCTAAAAAGCAAGCTTTAAAGAAAGGATGGACTCCTCTTCTGAGTCCCTCTATTGCAGAGCAATGGCATTTACAGGCGACTGGATCTATCTAAATCAAAGAATGCAATTCACCYACAGCGGAGAGAGGGTCAGGGCCCGACTCCGGGCATTCTGCTAGGGCSAGTAGCTGGGGCAGGTTCAGGAGGTGGGGGCTGCGGACGCCAGTCTTCAGGCTCCGACTTCTCAGCCACACGGGTGGGGGACAGAACTGAATTTTACAAGCCCCAAACCTCAGTTTACTTTAATTAACAGGAATGAAGTATGGAATAAAACCCACTTAGTTTCTCGTAGCTGGGGCAAGAAGCAGTCAGACAGACAGACAGACAGACAGACACACACACACACACACACACACACATCTTAAAACACAAATTTCCGTCCTGTTTAGCATTATATTTCTGCACCCTCATGCCATAGTGAACACTCCTTAAAATAAATATGGACAGAACCCCACGCCTACTTCCACAGGCACCGCCCCTCTATTGGGAGTTCAAGGCCTTGTGGAAATGTGTTTCACAACTAATGAAGCTCAACATCCTGCAGCAAAGATGAGAAGACTCAGCCATGAAGCAAGATGCCCACCCACAGGCCAGTCAAGCAGGGGGTTGTATATGCAAATGGGTGAGGAAACCTGTCCTGGAAGGCACCAGGGAGTGGTGGGGAGTGGGGCAAAACAGAAAGGGCAAGTCCTCCTGCAGGAACAGGATCAACCAGCTCACCAAAGGGGTTTTGTGAAAATAAGGACCAATGTGGTCAAATTTCCTCATTCTTTAAGAGAAGCTGAAAATCTGTATTTTTAATGTACAGTTTTATATTTTAAATATTGTCCACAGATGTGTATTTTTAAAGGATCATTAAAGTAGTGGTCATTTACCCTAATCTCCCTATTGAACTTTCTAATTAAAAAATGGACTTTTCATGGAGAGAAGGCGTGGACAGGAGAGGCCACTTCAGTTCTGATTTGAGAAACGGCCCTGCAGTGGGCTGTCCCYGAGCAACCTCCTCGTACGATGTCAAGTTTATACCACGAAAAAATGTAAAATCGTCCTCAGGAAATCATGACGCTCCTTGTACTCAATTTAGCAAGATAGGCAAACTGTGAAATTGTTTCATAAAGATAAATCCACCCGAGATGGTTAAGATGTACGCGTTCTCGCACAMGAGGAGTCTTTCCCCCGAGGTCTTCCCGGGGGCTGAGGGGGCCTCGGGGAGCCAGCGCAGGATGCGTGCCTGACTCCTGTCCTCAGATGGCTGGGCACGCCTGGGTGCAGGAGAGACGGGAGGAGACGCAGCCCCCACTGCCCGAGTGGCTGCAGGAAGCCAGGCTGCGAGGCGCTGCCTCTCTGGGCCCTGGTTTCCCCACCTCCTTGTGCAGACAGTTCCCACTCTGCTCCCTTCTGGGGTCTCCGGGAAGATGACATTGAGCCATGAGCCATGAGCCACAATGCACATGCCCACGGGGGGTGCTGTGCCAAGCACTGGGGTCCTCTCTCTTCCCTTTTCTGACATTGAAATTGATTTAACTGACTCAGAACATGGCCCTTACGCATGGTACTGGGGACCACGTGACATGGGGACACACACACACAGTGTGATGTGAATGCACATTGAACACGGTTTCTCTGTCTGAAGACAGGCAGATGCTGCTTCCAGCTTGGGAGTCACACAGGACCTCGTGGTCACCTACAGCCACCTATGGGCAGCGGCACCTGGCTCTGCTCCCAGGCCACTCAGCCCCATGGCCCGCCTCTTCCCATCCGCCCCGAAGCTCTTTGCAAGTGTTGACTGATGTCTCAGGACGCAGCAGGCGTCCTTATCATGCCATGTCCAGGAGGGGAAGGAGACCGGGGGACCGGGCCCTGTGCTCTGTGGAGCCGTGCTTTGAAGCCGTAAGGAATTGCACGGGCTTGGGGAGGTGAACAGGTCTTCCTCTGTCCTCACTAGAGTTCCTGACTCTAAAAAACTAACACCGTCCACTTTGTTCCCCTCCCCCCCTTAAACTATCCTGGGTGGAAGGATGAACTTTCCTTTGTTTTATTCCCAAAGGCCTGCAGGACATGCCAGCTTGCTATAGGGAGCCTCGGTTCCTGGACGGGGAGCCCTGCAAGGACCAGGAGGAAGGAGCTCTAGGCCCTTTCGCAGCACAGACGGTGTTTCTGGGAGCACATGGAACAGGTGACCTGCGAGACTCAGGTGTCCTCCCTGGCACGCCAGCAGGTGGGGCGAGGGGGCGGGAGGCTGCTGCCCAGCCCTGCAGAGGGGAGCTTCAGGAAGCCCGGGGAGGGCCAGTGGGCCTCAGGCAGAGGCCAGCCCCGCAGCCCAGCAGCCGCCTTCCCACCCCCACAGGCAGACGCAGCAGCCCAGGCAGCCACTAGCCAAGCCCTGGAAAGCCAGGGACGCCCAAGAGGGCGGGTGCCTGTGGCCGGCACAGCAGGGGAGCCGCGTGCCACTGCAGCCATGTGGCGTGCTGGCTGGCAGCAGGCTGCGAGAGTCACGGGGCCGCCTGCAGGTCCTCGGGTGGTGTCTCCACGTCCCACCTTCCTCCCTGCCAGAGTGGGACCCTCCCACTCCTAGCCCATGAGCCAGTGAGTGGGGTAACGGGGGACGTGGGGCGCTCGAGCAGCGCCAGCCCCTCGACCACGAGCGTGAGCTTGGATTCGCAGCCTGTGTGATAAATAGCACTTCATAAGTTAACGTGTGGTTTATGTGGTGAGATGAAGCGAAAGCAAGCAACTAGAGGAACTGCATTCCCCACCCACCCACACAGCCAAAGGCGAACACGCGGGCAGGTGGGGCAGGACGGGGCTGAGCTGGCACAGTGCCCCGGGGGAGCCCAGTCAGTGGCCTCCATGAATGCATACAGCAGGAGCTCAGTCAGCGGCCCAGGCACTGGCCAAGCTGTGATGTGGGTCTCACCTTTCCCCCCAAGTCCTTTCTTTTGGGCTTTAAGGTGAAATGGGCAAAGTTCCATAAAGGGCCACACCAATATCTCAGATTTCACAGCCACACCAGCCTGGGGCGCTTGGCCATGTTTTTTCTATGACTCTCATTCTGGGCCCATTCCGGGCCAAGCAGAGTCAGGCGGGCGGGCGGTCAGTCAGGCCTGCTTGCCAGCTGGTGCCCTGCAACACTCTTCAAGCCCCTCCTGGAGCAGGTGTGATTCTCACGGAAAAACAGCTGAACACATTAGCAGAGAGGGGGGGACAATGAGAGAATTCAGGGGCCCAATCCCAGAACGGCACACTCAAGGCCTTCTTTCCAAGTGCCAGGGCYCAGGGGGACATGGTGCTGACCAGCAAGGTCGTGGACACAGCAGGGTCTGCAGGCAGGCTAGAGGTGGCTGAATGACAGCACACCCATCTGTGAACCATGCTCTCTGCAGATGAAGCTCTCTACCTCTCCATGACCTCCCACGGCACCAGAAACAAATCTTTATGATAACATGGCAGAATGGTGTCTCATCTTTTCATATGTGAGGATTCCTCATGACACTATGAACTTAATGCAAGAACCATGTCTCACCTTTCTTTGTAMCATCAGTGCCTAGCCTAGTGCCTGAGAGACAGTAAGTGGTCAATAAATGCTTCCAAATGAATGCTAGATGAGTGGACGGATGATGGGCGGATGGATGGGTGGATGGATGGATAGAAGGAAACATGGATGGGTCGGTAGATGTTTAGATAGGTAGGTGGATGGGCAGGTGGATGGATAGAAGTGTGGGTGGATGGATGGGTACATAGGTAGGTGAGTGRATGGATGGATGGATGGATAGATGCAGTCAAGATTGGAAACTGGGTGATATGTGGATGGGTGAATTGGTGGATGGAGGCATGGATGGATGGGGTAGATGGATGGTGGATGGGGAGGGATGGTCAGATGGGTGTACTGATGGGTGGACGGAGGGTGGATGGACACGTGAGTGGGCTGGTGGGGGATGGGCAGGTGATGAAGGCAGAGGAGCAGTGAGGTGCAGACCTCCAGGACCCGGCTTACCCGCTCGCTCACACGCTTCAGCAACTCCTCTACTTCCTCCGTCGCCAACATCTCCCTCTGATACTGGTTTTCTGTCTTCTTTTTAGTTTCCAGGTCACACTCAGCTGTCAAGGCCAACATCTTCCGGTCATACTCCTCTTGTACTTCCTTTTCCAGGAGTAGAAACTGCTTTCTGAAAACAAGAGCCATCCTTCTCTCCGCCTGGGGGGAAAGGTGGCCGCCACTSGTCAGGCTCCTCAGCAGAAGGGCAATGACGTCCTTGCTGATTTGGGTGCGACAGGCCTCCAGATCTGCATCTGCCTGGTTCAGGGTGGCAATCTCCAGCCTGGGAGGCACAGAAGTCAARAGAGCCAGTCACACCAACCACAGCAGGGCCACGGCCCACAGGGCACCAAAGCTTGACTCACGGTGGCCACGGCCTCTCTTCCTTCTCCCACTCCTTTTCCTGCCCCCCTTGGCTCTGCTCCGACCAGCTCCTGAGGGCCGGTCATGGAGTGAGCGGACCCGATTCAGCAGATTTGTCAGGTGCCATGCTAGGAACAATTGGGATGGGAGCCATCTCAACAGGGTCTCTGCCAACAAGGAGGAGACCAAAGGGAGGAGGCATAGCTGACGTACTGAATGGTGTAAAAATAAATTTTATTTTACTTTTTTTTCCAATTAAAAATTAATTTATGGACAACTAAATGTAATGCTATATCCTGGAAGGGATCCTGGAGCAGAAGAAGAGCATCAGATTAAAAATTAAGGAAATCTGAACAAAGCGTGGGCTTTAGTTAACAGCAGCATATCAATATTTGGTTCACTAACCRTAACAATGTACATAAATGAATAGATGTAATGACTGTAAGAAATATAAGAGGTTAATAACAGGGGAACCTAGGTGCAGGACATACATCTCAATTTTTCTGTAAATCTAAAACTACAGTCTACTTGAGAAGTCCCTAGGCCACTAACGGTGARCTCTGTGGAGGGCGTATTACACCTCACGGCAGCTGGAAGGAGATCCATGGGGAAAGTCGACTCATACTCATGATTTAAAAATCTGGAAATCAGCCAGGCACAGTGGCTCACACCTGTAATCCCCATGTCTCGGGACGTCGAGGCAGGAGGATGGAAAGTTTGAGGGCCTAACAACTTGTACCTTAGCAAGACGCTGTCTCAAAATTTAAAAATAAAAAGGACTGAGGACGTAGCTCAATGGTAAAGCATCTCTGGGTTCCATCCCCAGTACCACAAAAGAAAATCTGGAAAATAAGGACGGACAGAAAAAGACTTTAYTCAGTGTGCGTCCACCGTGCAATCAGAATCACTGATGGCATTTTGGCTACATTTTCTTCCAGTTTTTCTTCCTCTGAATATCTTTTCTACAAATGTAGACTATTCACAATTTTACCCACTTTTTTCCAGTTAACATGGTAACCCGCACCTTCCTATGGTTTCTAAAAATTGCAACCTTCCTTGATAACGGAATAAGAACACTTCACCCTGTGATGGATGCCATTCAGTGAGCCTCTCTCTACTGTACATTCAGGTTACTTGCAAATTGCAAGATCTAAAATAACCCTGAAATAGACAACTTTGTATGCACAGCGACAGCCTTGGTACAGATTCCTACAGAAAGAATCTTAAGGTCAAATGAAGCAGTGTCTCCAAGTCCCTCGGAACATGTCCCAAACTGCTCCCCAGATAGCTCCTGACACCACATTCGGGACCTTCCCACATCCCAGCCAATGCCATGTTAAAAATCTCTCATAATTTGATAAGAGAAGATGGCATGCAGTTGTAAAAAAAAACGCAAGGTATAGAAGACAGCTATTAGAGAAATTTCCAAGCACCTAGAAGCGGGGGGAACAGGACGATTCCCACATTACCCAAATTCCAACACTGCCCATGTGCACCGACTTGTTTCATCTACTCCCTGCACTGAGCATTTTAAAGCAAATCTCAGATTTGTCATTTCACCTGTTCACGCCCCAGCACACTCTTGTAACCCGTCGGGGAGGGAGACAGACACAGCGAGACCCTGGAAGTGAGCTTGTGTCGGCTCACTGATCTGTCGACTCTACCTCCCTGGCTGCTGGCAGAAGACGCCACCCAAAACACCTGCTCTGTTGTATTATTCAGTCAAAAGCACTTTAGAGACATAACATTCAATAAGTGACAGAGGGTAGAGGAGCCCTCTGACCTTGCCACCCCTTAAAAGCAGGTAAGATTTGCACCTGGGAGACTGCCCTTCCTGGACCTGAGGAGAAAGGCCACCCCATCCAGGATGGACACCAACACGAGCCTTCTGACAGACAGGCCTTGCTGATCGTGAGCTGCTTCCCCCTCGGCCACCCCACCCTGCCCAGCTGCTTTTTCTCAACGTGCCACTCGTCATCCAGGGTGATGCGTTTGGCTCTGCTTCTTTGTCTCCTTCCCCGGGGGACCCTCACGTCACATAAAACTTCTCCAAACGGTTTGCCTTCCTGTGACTCTCTCAGGTCAACTCTCCCCCTCCCATATCACACTGTCATATTGAAAATATCGAAAATAATTCTAATCATTAAAATCATGCCACGTCAACAGCCCGTGAGCCTGAGCTGCAGTCACCTGGAAACCACACAGRACAAGACCATCAAACATTCCCGGACAATGGAGGCGTGGGAGAATGATGTCCACTGGTACATACCTCTGGACAGGCAATAAAGACAAAATATATAACTTAAAAACAAAGTTGACCATTGAGAAAAGATGTTAGGAGACCATGAAGAGAACTTCCAAGAAATATGGGATAACCTGAAAAGACCAAATTTAATATCTTTTGGGATAGATGAAGGTGCAGAGATACAAACCAAACAATCTTTTCAATGAAAGAATATCAGAAAATTTCCCAAAATTAAAGAATGAAATGGAAAATCAAGAACAAAATGTTTACAGGACACCAAAAATACAAAATTATAACAGACCTACACCAAGGTGCATTATTATAAAAATGCCTTACAAAATAAGGATAGNCAATCAATGGAAGGGTAACTGATGTGATACAGCAATCTGTATACGGGGTAAAATTGGGAGTTCATAACCCACTTGAATCAAACTGTGAAATATGATGTATTAAGAACTATGTAATGTTTTGAACGACCAACAATAAAAAAAAAATTTAAAAAAAAAATAAGGATAGACTTTTACCATAGGAAAAATGAAAGGTCATATTTAAAGGAAAACCAATCTGGATCTCAGCTTATTTCTCAACCCAGACCCCCAATGCTRGGAGGTCTTGGAATAATATATACCAAGCTCTGAAAGAAAATGGATKCAGTCAAGAATACTATACTCAGCAAAATTAAGCTTCAGAATTGATGATGAAATAGAAACCTTCCATGATAAGCAAATGTTAAAAGAATTCACAACTAGAATGCCGGCATTGCAGAACATGCTAAATAAGATATTTCATGAAGAAGAAATGAAAAATAAAAGTGAAAAYCAGCAAAKGGAGGAACTACACTAGAAGAACACTCAAACAAAGGAGAGACTAATTCAAAGTAAAAACCAAAATAAATCAAAATTACAGGGAATAAAAAGCATTTCTCTATAATAACATTAAATGTAAATGGCCTAAACTCATCAATCAAAAGACATAGGCTGGCAAATAGAATTAAAAAACAAGACCCAACAATACACAAGAGACTCACCTCACAGGCAAAGACATTCACAGACTGAAGATAAAAGGATGGTAAAAACATATAATTCATAAGGATCTTGTAAACAAGCAGGGGTGGTTTCTATCCTCATATCAGATAAAGTGGATGACAAACCAAAGAAAATCAGACGGGTCAAAGAAGGACATTTTATATTACATAGGGAATTATACATCAACAAGACTAACAACCATAAATATTTATGCCCCAAACAATGGAACATCTACATACATCAAGAAGACCCTTCTCAATTTCAAGAATCAAATAGACCACAACACAATAATACTGGGTGACTTTAACACATCTCCCTCACCAGTGGATAGATCCTCCAAACAAAAACTCAAGAAACTATAGAAATAAAARATACAATTAATAATTAAGACTTAACAGGTATACATAGAATATTTCATCCATCAATGAATGAGTACATTTTCTCTACACAGCACATGATCCTTCTCTAAAATAGACCTTACCTTAGGTTACTCTTAGCAAACACACACACAAAAAGAGAGAAAATACCTTGCATTCTATCAGATCATAAGGGAATGAAATTTGAAATCAATGATAAATTTTTTTTAAAAAAGCTACCCTAACACCTGGAAACTAAATAATACATTAGTGAATGATTAGTTGATATCAGAAGAAATCATGATGAAATATAAAATTACTTAGAGACAAATGAGACTAGCAATACAACATCCAAATCTCTGGGACACCATGAAGGCAGCTCTAAGAGGAAAGATCACTGCACTTAGCTCACCCATTAAAAGGACAGAAAGTCACCAAATAAAGAACCTGTCACTACATCTCAAAGCCCTAGAAAAGAAGAACAAATAAACACCAAAACAACAGAAGACAGGATATAATTAAAAATCAGAGCTGAAATCAATGACACTGAAACATAACAACCTCAATAAAAAATAGACTACTTGAGAATCAATCTAACAAAAGAGGCGAAAGACCTGTACAAGGAAAACTACAGAACTCTAAAGAAAGAAATTGAAGAAGACCCTAGAAGATCGAAAGGGCTCCCATGTTCTTGGATAAGCAGAATTAATATTGTCAAATGGCCATACTACCAAAAGCATCATACAGGTTTAATGCAATTCCCATTAAAATTCCAATGATTTTCTTCATAGAAATAGAAAAAGCAGTCATGAGATTCATTTGGAAAAACAAAAGACCCAGAACAGCCAAAGCCATCCTTGGCAAAAAAAAATGTGAAGCAGGAAGCATCACAAYACAAGACCTTAAATCATACTGCAGACCTACAGTAGCAAAAATGGCATGGTATTGGCACAAAAATAGACATGAAGACCATTGGTGCAGAATAGACACAGCCACAGTGACAAACCCRAATATATACACCTACCTCCTACTAGACAAAGGCACCATAAACATACACCGGGGAAAAAATGGCCTCTTCAACAAACGGGTGCTAGAAAAACTGGAAATCCATATGTAGCAAAATGAAATTGACCCCTATCTCTCACCTGTAAAGTGGATCAAGGACCTAGGCACTAGAACAGAGACCCTGCGCCTACTAGAAGAAAATGTAGGCACAGCTCTCCATCATGTCAACTTCGGACCCAACTACCTCAATGAGACTCCTAAAGAACAATAATGGTTCACACTAAACAGC